ACAGAGCCTGCCCAGAAGGCGGGCAGGCTTGGCCCAGGGTCAGGCTGCTGGAGCACCCGCCACTCTGGGAGGGGTCCTCTTTCCCGTGATAGCCAAACAGAGGCTGGCTGTCCTCCCCGTCCTAGCCCTCTTCCTCTCCCCTTCTCCCAGGCCTCCTTCTCATCACTTTCAACCCCCACCCTCTTTTTTAGCTTGTCCCCACACAAATCCCTTTCGCCCCCCCTCCTCCCCCAGGTTTGGAATGAAATCATGGGGCTCTGAGTTCCGCAGTAGGCCCCAACATAAACACTCTGATTGGGGCTAATTATAAGGGCCAGGTTGGGAGGCTGGAGCCTTTAGAAAGCTTTGGCTTTCAAACAAAGGGCCCAGGGCTCAGCCCCCAGCCCAGGCCGGCTCCTTTCCAGGCTTCATGGGAGTAAGGAGGGGTCCCAGGGGTAGGCAGTCCTCTCGAAACCCAGTGGTCTATGGGCCTGTTCCATGTCCCAAGTCCCATCTTGTCCTTTCTCCGTTGCTTTCATTCACCTCAGCCCTCCCAGGCCTCAAACCCTGGGGCCTTCCCAGCTGGCTTGGGGGAGCCACAAGTCTGCAGTGGAAGGCAAGGCAGCTGGGTTGGGGCTCTCAGACTGTGAGGGGCTGGGGCAGGGGGAGGCGCAGGGGAAGCCAGCTGTGACAGCCCCAGCCCTAATTAGCCAGCTTCAAAGCCGGCTGGAGAGAGCGCCCGCCCGCCCTGCATGTGTGCCCTGCTCACTCAGGCGAGTAAGACATTTCTGTCCTAATCAGGGGAGAGAGAGGGAGAAAAACACTGCCCACCACCACCCTGAGGAGCCGCTAGACACTGGGCTGGCACCCAGAGTCAGGTAGAAAAACTGGGAGCACAGGAAATCATTCTATTCAAACTATCCGTAATGACAGGTTTAAAAAGCCCTCAAGAAATGCACATCCTTTGAGTCGGTGTTTCTATTTTTAGAAATTTATCCTAAGTAATTACAAAAGTGCTACAATTTATTGAACCTCCACTATGTGCTGGCTCTATGCATGCATCTTCCCATCTAATCCTCACAACCACCTTGCCAGACAGGTACTATCACCTTTTTACATGAGGACACTGGGACTCAGGGGTTAGGAAACTTCTGCACACAAGTGCTCAAGGCTGCTACAGCAGTGAGTCGAACCAAAGCATGCCAAAGCCTCTGCCTTCCATGCATGGTCTCTCTCTATACATCTTTCTCCTTTTTACCCCAACTACAAAAGTGTTACACATTCGTATTCCATTCTGCTGCATCACGATTGTTACATGAGTGAGGGGCAGGATGGGACTGAGTCAATAACCTGGTTTAGGGGTGCTCCTGATTTTGTAGGCCCAGAGGTTTTCCTTCCTCATTCCCATTTTAGCAGCAGAGGTGACTGGAGACTGGGGTTGTTGAATTCTGGGAAGGTGAAGGCTGTCTCTTGCAGAAGTGGAGACAGGCAGCAATCAGGACTGGGAATGTCTAGACCAGGGGCTGGAAAACTAGCTTGGGTGTGTGAGGAGGGAGGGGAGAGGGTACGGATTGATGGTCCAGAAACCTCCTAAAGTTACACAAAATATTGTGTGTTCATGCGAATCTGGCCATTTTTTTTTTCCAGGAAGAGGTCCAAAATTTTTTCATATTCTCAGTGGCCCCCAGAAGATTAAGATTCCTTTAGAGGTGAGGAGGGTGACCTAGAGGAGGAAGGGAGTCAGGTACAGAGAACAGCCAGATTGCAGAGGGGAGGACTCGCCTGCCTAGGTATGTGCCCCTGGCGCCTGGACAGCCTCTCCTCACTTTCAGAATCCAGCTCAGATCAGGAGCCCCAACACTCCCTTGGAGAGGTTTCTGGAATAATCCAGAAGTCTGGCAGCTCCGGATCCCACTGAGCAAAACCCAATCCTCACTCTTCCAGGGAGAAGAATTTTGTCTTGGAAAACGTTAGTGGCCTTTTCAGGGGCTAGCTCTTAAAGGATCCTCTTAAAGGGCAAACAGTTTGTAACTAGTGGAAAAGATTTCAGGAGGAAAGTCTGATCCACAGGAGAGGGAGTCTCCAGGACAAATGTCCCGCCCAGGACCTTGAGAACCAGCAGTGTTGCTCCTTTGTGGGATGGGGTGAGGGCAGGAGAGCAGGTAGAAACCAGCTGCGGCCTGAGACCTGCCCTGAGCCCAGGGGCCGGCCTCAGGTGAGGGGATTTCCTTCTTGGCCCTGACCCTCCACCAAACACAAAGCCTCCCTCTTCCAGAGGGACCAACCCACTTACAACGTGGAAACCCTTTCCACCCATGGGGCGACCTAGAAATCTGCACAAGCAGACCTCCAAGCCCGTTTTTGACTGGGTTTTTCTGAACAAGGGAGTGGAGACACCCTCTCCCAGAGTGGCAGTGAGCTCAGGTGAGTCACCTCTGCATCTCCCTCCAGGACAGTTCTCCCCACTAGCCTAAATCCCCCACTGTGGTCTAAAGCTTCCCTTCTTCTAAGAGTTGCCTCTTTAAAGGAATGGGGGCTGGGTGTAGGGGGAGTGTTCCTCCACAACCTCCTGGAGGGTAATTCAGTCCCTGGCTGCCCCCCTGGAAGAAGGGGAGGGATCTATGAGATCTATTCTTTCCCAAAGAGGCAATTACCTTATAATCTATCCTCCTCCCTAGTCATAAAACCTATTCTGTACGTGTCTCAGGTCCTCTTCCCCTGTGTGGCAGGAGACTTTGAGGCGGGGGTTGCTAGTCCACCACCAGCGTGAGGGCCCAGGGACAAATGTGCCCAAAGCACGCACAGAGAGCTAACATCCTGGGGGCGCTTAGAGGTGCAAGAGATTCTCCCCAAATCTTCCACAGAGACCACAGCACTCCTCTTCCCACTGGACTCAATCCCAGGGACTAGAAAACCCTAATGGATTCAGGGGCTTTCGCCATTATTACCTGCAGAGACACACAATTTGTTTGTAATTTAACTCTTTCCTGCAGCCCTTGTGGGGTTCCTTTAGAATCTCGCAACAAATGGAGCTGGGCCGGTGACACCTCTCCCTGCCTGCTGCTTTGATAGTTGAGGTAGCCTTATGTTGAGATTTCACACTCATCATCATTTAATAAAAAAAACTAGGTTTAAGTAGCCACCAACACAAAGGATTTGGGGAGGAGGATATTATATATTTTGGGATGGGGGCTTTGCTGAAATCCTTAGGCTTCATACAATACCAAACAAAGCCCCACATATGACTTCAATTACCACCAAACATTTCCAGTTCCCCTCCCCCAACATAAACTAACACAAGCAAACACTTGGAAGTAAGTGTTCTAACTTACTTTCTCCCAAGTCCCTAAGAAGGCCAACAAAGGATAGTAAGGCACCATTTTCTTCACAACCATTTAGCTAAAAAAGCAGCCTCTGGGGCTGGGAACACTCTTCTCTGCCCCACCCCCAACCAACTAGGTAATGGGGAGAGGGGAGGAGGTGGTGTGGTTTGGTTAAACTAATAAAATGTTACAACCCTGTTAAACACAATTAAAGGGCTAGATCTCTCTAAGATAATTAAATGCACTTTATTATTATGATTATTAGCTTTTAATTTGCACTATCAAGAAACAAGAGATGGTGAAAATTGAGTTATGTGGCATACTGGTCTTCAATGTTTTGGAATTAAAATTCTAAGATATTCCAAATAGTTGAGGCATATGATGTGTGTTGGAAACTGGAATCCTCATACCAGCAGATACTTTATATTATACATCACTTCTTAGGCAGCTAACTTAAGAAAAGTCTTGACTTTAATTTGTGGGGGGTAGGGAGAAGATAAGAAACATCTGTTACAAACATTCTATCAATCTTGCGATATAGAAAGTCTTGTAAACACTCAACCCCACCCCCACAGCCACAAAGAGCCTGTCCAGAGCCTTCTTCTAAAGCAAAGATACCCACCTTTTATTTTTTTCCTTCTGGACAAGTTTTAAAGAAACCAGTCTTTTGTCAAAGAAAAACTAAAAACCTCACCAGCCCATCAGTCCTCTCCCTCCAACCCAACCCATTTTTATTGCTTTTTGAAAAAAAAAATAAGTGCCCAACAACAACAAAAACCCACACACTGCTAACCTGAATGCCAGAGATTTTCGACTGGGGAGACACCAGACCAGGGAAAGAGAGAAGGTGCGAGGAGATCTCAAACCCCCAAACTTTGCAAACAGATGCTCAAAAGCTAATGCTTCCCCTAAAAATGCAGGCAGTCAGGCTCAGTTCTCAAGGAAGTGTGCATGTTGGGTGTGGGGGGGGTGTTGGTTTCAAAACACACCTCACAAAGCATTTTCTGCCCACTCTAAGCGCTTGGTGAAGCCGGTTGAAAAGAAAAGTCAGAGGAGAAAGATCTTCCAGCCTGCAGGGGAGTGGGCCAGGGGGTGAAGGCCGCTCCTCAGCCCATCTCCGCCCTCTCCCCACCAGCACACCGCCCTCCCCTGTTTTTTTTTTTTCCACGTCTTCATCTCGGTTGGGAAGTTTCCAAAGATCGAGTGGAGACAGGACAAGTGAGGAGAGAAAGAAAGGGGGAAAGAGAAATAAAACAAAACAAAACGAACCAAATCTTGTTCAAAAATATCCAACAGCGTTCACAGGCCCCGCGTCTGTGAGGAGGCTCGCAAATGTGGCTTTTATAGAAAGTTGAATGGAGCAAACTCCCAACTCCTCACAGCCACCAAAAACAGTGCTCAGGCTGGGTGCCTCTCCCAGCGGGCAGGCCCTGCGCAACACCCCAAAATTCCAACCAAGGACTGGCAGTTTTTAAAGGGCATTTAAGAAAGGACGGGCCTCCCCAACTCCCCCTTCACCTCCTCCCCGCCCCGCACTCTTCAGCCCTGGAGCCCTAACCGCTGTGGGGTTTTCTTCCCCCCTTTATTCTTTTAAATAGAAAATATATAATTAAATTTACAAAGACTATTTACAGTTTTAATTACAAACCTTGTGGGGGTGTAGGGCAGAGTTCTCTTTAAAAAGCAAACCTAAAAAAGAATGGTTTCGATTGTTCTTTATTTAAAAAAATAAAATAAGGAGTCTGTAGGAGCCCCCCCAGGACGAAGGAAAGCGCGGTGCCCGGCCGGGGGCGCCCCTCACACGGTGGTCTCGCCGTGCCGGCTGTTGGTGAGGCGGGTGTAGAACTTCCTCCACGAGTGCAGCGTCTTGCCCGACCAGATCCAGAAGCCCGACGTGATGCCCACGATGAGCGTCATGAGGTATTTGATCATGTAGACGGTGAAGTCGGGCGACATGCGCGGCGTGTAGTGCGCCGGGCACGGGATGGCCAGGCTCTTGCAGTGCTGGCTCACCCACGAGCGCTCCCAGTGCTCGCGGAAGGCCTGCTCGTAGAAGTAGCAGGCTATGACGATGGTGGCGGGCACCGTGTAGAGCACAGAGAAGACTCCGATGCGCACCATGAGCCGCTCCAGCTTCTCTGTCTTGGTGCCATCGTGCTTCATGATAGTGCGGATGCGGAAGAGTGACACGAAACCAGCCAGGAGGAAGGACGTGCCGATGAACAGGTACACGAATAGCGGCGCCAGCACGAAACCCCGCAGTGGGTCCAGGCTGTTGAGGCCCACAAAGCACACGCCGCTCAGCAGGTCGCCGTCGATCTGGCCCATGGCCAGGATGGTGATGGTCTTGACGGCGGGCACGGCCCAGGCGGCCAGGTGGAAGTACTGCGAATTGGCCTCGATGGCCTCGTGGCCCCACTTCATGCCGGCTGCCAGAAACCAGGTGAGCGACAGGATGACCCACCAGATGGAGCTAGCCATGCTGAAGAAGTACAGCATCATGAAGAGGATGGTGCAGCCCTCCTTCTTGGTGCCCTGCACCACTGTGCGGTAACCGTCCTCGGAGAATCGCTCGTTGCACACCACGCGCTCCTGGAGCACGAAGCCAGCGATATAGGCCACCGACACCATAGTGTAGCAGCCCGACAGAAAAATGATAGGCCGCTCTGGGTAGCGGAAGCGCTGCATGTCCACCAAGTACGTGGTGACAGTAAAGAAGGTGGAGGCACAGCACAGCACCGACCAGGTGAGGATCCAGAGGCGCGCAAAACGCGTCTCCTCCTGAGAGAAGAACATAGAGCCGTCCGGCCGCGCCGGTTCGCAGGGCGCTGCACAATCGCGCTCACCCAGAAACTTGTAGCTGAGATAGGATGGCACCTTGAGGACGCGCGGGCAGTGGAACGGGTGTTCCAGCGTGGCGTAGCGTGGGGGCGCACCGCCGCCGCCAGGGCCACCAGGGGTGCCGCCGGCGCCCGGCTGCAGTCCCTGCGGCGGCGCGGTGGTAAGCAGTGCCGGGGCTCCGTCCTCTGAGTGGTTCTGGCCCACGCAGATCTGCTCGGCGCCGTGGCGCGGGAAGTGCTCGCAACGCAGGCGCTCGGGCCACTGGAAACCAAACTTGTTCATGAGCGCCTCGCAGCCCTGGCGCGCGCGCTCGCAGATGGAGCGGCACGGCGGGATGGCCTGTTCCAGCACGGTGCACACGGGTGCGTACATGGAGCACAGGAAGAAGCGCAGTTCGGGCGAGCACTGCACCTTTACCAGCGGATAGAACTGGTGCACCTCCAGGCCCGCGTCCTCCTGGTTTGTATGGCCCAGAAGGTTGGGCATGATGGTCTGGTTGTAGGCGATGTCCGTGCACAGCGGGATGGAGATGGGCTGGCAGAAGCCGTGGTCCGGGATGGAGATGCCCTTCTCCCCGTGGAACTGGGCCGGCCCGGCGGCGGGCAGCAGCAGCAGCGGCAGCAGCAGGCGGGGCAGGGCGCTGCGGGGCCGCATGCTGGCCGCCGCCCCCCACCCGGCTCCTGGGCGCCCCCCCGCCCCCGCCCCCAACCCCGAGACCGCGCGCCTTCCCCGCCGCCTCCTAGCTGCGGCCGCCGCCTCCCGCGCCGCTTAGCAAACTTTGCTCGCGGCCTCAGAGTTGGGGAGGCCGGGCGGGGGAGGGGGCGGCGCGCCCGCCAGCTAGCTCGCCGCGGTCCGACTGAGCCACCCGGCACGCCGCGCGCCGCTGCCCTCTCTCCGCCTCTCGCCTCTCAGCTCCCCCGCTCCCCTCCCTCTCCACCCAGCGACTCCTTTGTGCCTCCTCCAGCCCTCACCTCGGCCTCTCGGATCCCAATTAGTCCGTTTCAAGGGGGCCCCCGCTGGCGGCCCCGCCCTCTCCTCAGCCCCCCAAAAAAGGGATCCTGGAAACCGCCCCGTCGAGCTCTACGCACCGTCCCAAAATGTGCTCTCGGCCAATCAGATTCAAACCCGAGGACCAGCCCCGAGGGCCGGATTGGCCGACCACAACATAATGAGATCAGAAACCAGATGCCAAAAAACTTTCCCCCTCCTTTTGCTTTTTAAAGAGACAGCTATTATTACATTCGGCGCTGTCTGCCCAGCCCGGGTTTCCCCGAGTCGCCGCGGCCACATCCCGAGACGCGCACGCTCCCGAGCCGCGGTGGGCCCGGCTACTCGACCCTGGTCGCTCTCTCCCGGGGCCCAGGCGCTCTGCCCGTAGGGGCTCTGTAAATCCTTGCCCCGGCCCCGGCTGCTCGAACCCCACCTATTCCAGTCCAGTTTTTCAAGTCAAGTGAAAAATCTCAAGTTAAAAACTTTTTAAAACCCCCAAACCAAGAGACTTACAACCTAACAGTTTACAAAGCCTTTTCTCTCCGCCCCTTCTCATGAGCCCATGCAAAAGGTTCACTTCAGTTTACACGTAGACCCCCCTAGGAGTCCGCCCCTTCCCTCCCCCTACACACACCCTTAAATAACCCTCTGCAAAAAAAAAAAAGGGAGCCTGTCTCTTTAAGGGGCTCTTAAAGGGACCCGGACTCCCAGGCGTAATTGCCCCGTAGCGAGCACAAAGGAGCCCATTATGGTTCTTTGTGTTCGGTGGCACCTCAAAGTGAGAAAACTCAGGAACTCCGAGGCCCGGAGCTAGAGGGTTTTGGGGGGGAGGTGTTGGCGAGGTGAAGGAGAATGGCCCGGAGCTTCGGCTTCTCCCGCCCGCTTCTTCCGAGGCAAATCTTAATTATGCAAAGTAAAGTTTAGTTGCCGTAAGGAGGAGGTCTTAATCGAAAATTAATGGTGGAGGGTTGGGGGGTGACGGGCAGTTTTAAGTAAAGAGACGACTCTTTTAGGCCTGACAAGTGTTTGGGGGAATTCTCCTTCTGCTTCCCCACCTCTGCCTCCGACCCCTAAAAGCTTCCAGATAAGTCTCCAGGGAGAGAGGGGAGTTTTACCCAAACCTTAAGTGATTCCACACCAGAAAAGGGGTGGTGTGCGTGGCGAGGGAGGAGGCTGTGGTGTATTATTCCCCTTCTCCCCCTCTCTCACCTGGTTGTGGGGTGAGGGTGGCCCGCAGAGTTCCTGCTAGTTTAGAAAGAAATTTCTTTTTCTTTTTTCCCCTCTTCTAGGATTTTAAATTTGAGAGGGGGTCCGGGAAGGAGAGAAGGAATTTGTATGTAAATCTCCTGGATCTGGTACTGGCTGATGGATCAATTATTTCTGTTGTCTCTCTGGACTGAAAGGGGTGGGAAGACTTAAAAAGAAGAAAGAAAATTGGGTTTAGAAACCCCCTTTGCTTCTCAGTATGGGCCAAATCCTCCCAGCCTGGAGAACTGTTTCCTGCTCTAATATAGAAAAAGATTGCTTTAAACAACAACAGCAGCAAAAAGAAATTTAAAAGAAAGAAGAAATGGGTGGAGAAAGGAAAGAAAATAAGTAGATAAATACAAGGGATCCAGGTTTGATAGGATTCAAAAAAAAATTTTTTTTTCCTGATTGAATAAATAATATAAAGATTTTCAGGTTCTTTACAACTTCAAAATGCTCCTTGTTGTATCTTGGAGAAGTTGCCTTTTCCCTCCTCTGGAAAGAAAGGTTTCCTTTAAAGTCAGAAGAACCAGTTAAAATGCCTTTTATCAAAAGACAGGCAATAAGAAATGCTGGCAAGGTTACGGAGAAAGGGGAACCCTTGTACACTGTTGGTGGGAATGTAAATTAGTGCAACTATGGAAAACAGTATGGAGGTTCCTCAAAAAACTAAAAATAGAACTACCCTATGACCCAGCAATCCCACTACTGACTATATACCCAGAGGAGGAGAATTCAATTTATCAAAAAGATACCTGCACTCCCATGTTTATTGCAGCACGATTTGCAATAGCAAAGATTTGGAATCAACCTAAGTGTCCATCAATGGATAAATGGATAAAGAAATTGTGGTACATATATACAATGAAATACTACATAGCCACACTAAAACAAACAAACAAACAAAAACAGTGAAATCCTGCCATTTGCAACAACATGAATGGAACTAGAGAACTTTATGTTCAGTGAAATAAGCCAAGCACAGAAAGACAAATCTTGCATGTTCTCACTCATATGTGGGAGCTAAATATTAAAAACAATTGCTAGCACTCTGGGAGGCTAAGGTGGGAGGATCTCTCGAGGTCAGGAGTTCAAGACCAGCCTGAGCAAGAGTGAGACCCCATCTCTACTAAAAATAGAAAGAAATTAATTGACCAACTAAAAATATATATATAAAAAATTAGCTGGGCATGGTGGCACATGCCTATAGTCCCAGCTACTCGGGAGGCTGAAGCAGAAGGATTGCTTGAGCCCAGGAGTTTGAGGTTGCTGTGAAGTAGGCTGACTCCATGGCACTCTAGCCCGGGCAACAGAGCAAGACCCTGTCTCAAAAAAAAACAAAAAAACCCTACAAAAACAAAAAACCTAACAATTGATCTAATGGAGACAGAGAGTAGAAAAATGGTTAATAGAGGCTGGGAAGGGTAATGTGGAGGGGGATAAGTTGGGATGGTTAATAGGTGCAAAAATATAGTTAGATAGATAGAATGAACAATATTTGATAGCACAAAAAGTGACTATAATCAACAATAAGTTAGAGTATACTTTGAAATAATTTAAAGAGTGGAATTGAAATGTTCCTAACACAAAGAAAAAAATGATAAATGACTGAAGTCATGGATACTCCAATTATCCTGATTTGGTTAATTCACATTGTATCCCTGTATCAAAACATCACATGTGTGGCCAGGTGCGGTGGCTCACACCTGTAATCCTAGCACTCTGGGAGACCGAGGCAGGCAGATTGCTCGAGGTCAGGAGTTCGAAACTAGCCTGATCAAGAGCGAGACTCCGTCTCTACTATAAATAGAAACAACTAATATATATAGAAAAAATTAGCCGGGCATGGTGGTGCATGCCTGTAGCCCCAGCTACTTGGGAGGTTGAGGCAGCAGGATTCCTTGAGTCCAGGAGTTTGAGGTTGCTGTAAGCTAGGCTGACGCCATGGCACTCACTCTAGCCTGGGCAATAAAGTGAGACTCTGTCTCAAAAAAAAAAAAAAAAATCACATGTGCCTTATAAAGATATATAACAATTATGTACCCATAATAATTAAAAATTAAACAAAACAAAATGAGGAGGATATGCCTTTTTTCTCTCTATCCCATTTCCATTCTACCCTTATTTATTCTACCTACAAGCCCATTTTCTTGAGAGCAGATTAGGGATGGGAAATTGTCCCCTCAAGTTGTCCTCTCTCTTTTCCATAGGGCCACATCTGACCCTGAGCTGTTGCTCCTTCTGTCCTCCCACCTAGGCCACCTGTAGGCATCTTTAGAGCTGGTACCAAGCCCTGCAGCTAAGTGGTGGAAACAAAAATGAATAAGACAGACTCCTATGCCCCACTTAGGAAACTCACAGTCTGATAGGAAATTGAGTGCAAATGTCCAATGTAAACACAGCATCTTCAATTTATTTCCATGACAAACCTGTTTTCCTTCCCTAGGGCCAGGCCTACATGACAGTCATCCCTTCCCTAGCGCCCTCCCCCAAGGCAGATGGAAAGCTGGAGCTGGAGAATGGAAACACAGGACATTCTTCCATTCACTCTGTCAAGGTTTCATTCCTTCAACACACTTTTGTTCCGTTTCCAAACCACCCTAGTAGGTGCTGTGAAGAATGCAGAGAAAGATAGCACATCTGCCCTTCAAGAGTTTACAGTAGCCTAGAAGAAAAGTGACTCCACAAAGATCTTACATTTGTCTAGCATTTGTACATGAAATACGGAGAAATCACAATATTTCATGATTACTCTTGCCTTTCATGTGAGGGACCTGAGTATGAACAGGACCAGAACCCACATCTTCAGATTGCAGGCCCACAGCACTTTCCACTCTGCCAACCTGCCTCTTCACGTGTGCCAGGGCAGGGCGTGGTGATCGGGTGAAACAGAAGGAATGGGCAGGGTGCACAAGTACCTTGGCCCTGTTAGAGCCCCACATGCATCTCCAAGAGTGATGGCTGAGGAGGCTCTAAGTAGGCAGGGATTTAAGGCATCTTGCACTAGTCTGGGCTCCTGGAGATGGGCCTGCACTGGAGAGTTTAGGAAAGATCACACTCGGGCAGCTTTGAGGAACATGATGGGAGAAACCTGAGATATCAGTTAGGGATTGATCACAAGAGACCAGGCGAGAGGTGGAGAGGGCAGGAACTGGAATGTGGCAGTATGGACCATAAGGAGAGAGAGTAAGGGAGGAGACAAACCAAGGCTTCTGACCTAGGTGCCCTGATCCATTATCCAGCTAAGGGAGCACAGGGAAAGGGCAGATAATGAGCACAGTCAAGCAAGGCTGAGCCTGTGGTACATCCATAAGAAGGTGTCCAGTAGGCAGGTGGATATTCTAAGCCAGTGCGCAGGTGGGAGCTTTGGGCTAGATTTAGATCTGGTACTTTTAGCCTATGGTTGGAGGTATGAGCGTGATGAAGATCATGTAGGGAAGACCGACTGGGTGGGAAGGCCAAAGCTTGGGCAGATACCCACATTTAAGGGCCATGGGGCCAAGGAGGAGGGAAACTGAGGAGTAATCAGGCCAGGAGTGAT